GTGGTTGTAATTAACTTTAAGTAGTTTTATTCATTATAAACAAATTAATTAGCAATAAATTTGAAAATATTAATATGAATTTTCAAATTTATTATTTTTTTTTCCTGTTACAGTAGAAACTCTCTTATCTGACATGGTCTAAACCTATAGTTCGTTAAATAATCAAAAAGTCAGTAAACTCAACCAACAAAACTAAAAGACAACCTACCAAATGGGAGAAGATATTTGCAAATGACACATCTGATAAAGGGATCGTATCCAAAATATATAAAGAACTTATACAGCTCAGCAGCAAAAAAAACAATCCAGTTAAAAATGGGCAGTAGACATGAAGAGACATTTCTCCAAAGAAGACATTCAGGTGGCCAACGGACACATGAAAAGATACTCAGCATTATTCAGCATCAAGGAAATGTAAATCAGAACCACAATGAGATAACACCTTACACCTGTCAGAATAGCTAAAATCAAAAACTCAAGAAACAAGAAGTGTTGGCAAGGATGTGGGGGAAAAGGAACCCTCATGCACTGTGGGTAGGAATGCAAACTGCTACAGCCACTGTGGAAGACAGTATGGAGGTTCCTCAAAAAATTAGAAATAAAACTGTCCTACAATCCAGGAATCACACTACTGGGTATTTACCCAAAGAATATAAAAGCACTAATTTGAAAAGATATATGCACCCCTATGTTTATTGCAGCATTTTTTTCAATAGCCAAACTATGGAAGCAGGCCAAGTGTCCATCAATAAATGAATGGATAAAGAAGATGTGTGTGTGCATGTGTATATGTATAATATATATATTGTACATGGAGCTAGAGAATATAGTACTAAGCAAAATAAGTCAGAGAAAGACGAATACCATATGATTTCACTCATATATGGAATTTAAGAAGCAAAACAAATAGGGCACCTGGGTGGCTCAGTTGGTTAAGCAACTGCCTTCGGCTCAGGTCATGATCCTGGAGTCCCAGGATTGAGTCCCGCATCAGGCTCCCTGCTCAGCAAGGAGCTCACTCTCTCTCTCAAATAAATAAATAAAATCTTTATAAAAAAAAAAGCAAAACAATTAAACGAAGTGGGTAAAAAGTGAGAGAGAGACAAACCAAGAATCAGATCCTTAACTACAGAGAACAAACTGATAGTTACCAGAGGGGAGGTAGGTGGGGGATGGGTGAAATAGGTAAAGGAGATTAAGAATATACTTATCTTGATGAGCACTGAGTAATATATGAACTATTGAATCACTATTGTATACCTGAAACTAATATAACACTGTATATTAACTACATTGGAATTAAAATTTAATTAATTAAACTGATCTAGTCTAAAAATGTGAGTTAACTCAGGAAATCATTTTAAGAGACTGTCTATCCACCTTATTTTAATATACAACATATGGATGAAAATTTACCAATGTGCTAATTGCCGATTTTTTAATTTTAGACCAAGACCTTTATTTTTCTGTAATTTATGAGTCTGTTGATGAGCACTGGACCTTTTTTTGCATGAACCACACCCATAATAGTGTCTATAGTGAAAACATTTGCTAAGTATTCTTAATTCAAATGTATCTAGACTTTTTACTTTGATTGCTTAATCTTTTGTAACTGACACACCTTCCTAATTTAAGAGCAATTTTAAATTAGAAATTTACCTTTAGTTAGTTGCCATCAACTTAGTTTCATTGAAATAGCTCTTTCACATTCATATTCTATCAGCTTACATAATACTTATTGTGTAATTATACTAATAAATAGGCATGGGTTTTACACCCCTTACAGTGGTTTACTAAGCAAAAAAAAAAAACATATTCCCTCTTGGTAAGTCTACAACAAATGTACATGTGAGCTTATTAGAAAACAGCCTTCTTATTCCTGTCAATTCTACAGAGGGAAAAAGGAAGAATCTGTCAGAAGGAAGTCAGTTAAGAGCTTTGACTACACATTGTATTCACAACATTTTAAAATTTGTGCAAATTAATCCATACATAGATACGTGAAAATAACATAATATGCAAGAAAAAGGGGAGGATTTGAAAAATCTGCCTTACAAGTAAGACCAACTGAAAAGTTGCACATTTTGCCAGTCAAGTAATTGTTTTTGTCGTAAATTTGTCAGAGAAAGTGTAGGTTTTTTTCTGTTGGTAATTAAAAGAAATATGAGAGGAAAAAAAGAAAAATAAGGTACGACCAGTCTGGAAAACTATTTGACAATACCTGCTAGAGTTTAACATATTTGTAAGCTATAATCCATCAATTCCATGCTCAGGTATATACTCTGCAGGGGTGGGTGGGTGTGTGTTTGTGTGTGTGTAGGGGGAGTGGGTATGTGTCTGTATTCACTAAAAAACATACAAGAAGATTTATGGTAGCATTATTAACAATGACTATAACTGGAAACAGCCTAAGTGTCAACAGTATAAGTAAATACATTACAGTGTACTTAATTAATGGAATACTATCTATATAGCAATGTGAGTGAACAAAGTACAACAACATGCAACAATGTTAGTAAATCTCACAAAATCTAATGATAAGTGAAAGGTGCCAGACCAAGAAAACACATACTATGTGATTCCATTTTATGATGTTCAAATCAGGCAAAAGTACACTATGCTGTTAGAAGTCAGGAGAGTAGGTGCTTTTTGTGAGAAAGCAAAGAAGTATGATCAAAAGGAAGCCTGGGATGACTTTTGGAGTTCTGGAAATACTGTTTCTTAATTTGGGTGCTATTCTCTCTGAGCTCTATGCTTAAAATTTGTGTGTTTTTATGATGTATGGTGAACTGCAAAAAAATTATCCAAAAAATAAAAGAATGTGATTTTATCTGATTGAAGTAATATTAACTAGATGAGCCATGAAGTAACGACAGAAAAATGAGTTGAGCTCTACAAAGGGATTTGAGAAGAACAATTATGGAATCTATCAAAAAGGGAAATAAGACTTAACAACTTAAAGTGTACCATCTGTAGCTTATTTAGTTATGATAACTCATTTCAGCCCAATTTGTTGTATTTTGCGTACTTAGTACTTAGATTATGCAACCACTGAGAATTATTTAATAAGCATATAAATATAAACCATAAATCACTTTATCCTAGTCCTGTAAAGTAATCTGGATCACCCTCCTCATTTTTAAGTCAGTTTTGTTTTGTTTTTTAAGCATCAAGTTCTGTCAGGATAAAATACTGTTTAAAAATTAGACTAAAATTTGGTTCATTGGACCAAATTAAAATACATTTCATTAACTGACCTGTTTTTGTAGAATATCCTTATTCATAATTTCTACCTCTTTGGTTTTCTTCATTTGAAAGAAAAAAAATCATGAAAATATTCTGATACATATTTATTCAATTTATATAATAGCAAACAAAAATCAAATACATATTAGAATAAGTTCAAAAGAATGGAGCCTTTAAACCATTCTCTCATGAGACTCACTGAATTTGCAAGACATTCCTACTATTTCAATAGTAGTAAAATATATGCTATCCCAACACTTTATTATGCAAGAGGAATAGAGAAGAAAGAAATAATCAGTTGCCATAATTAATAATCTTATTCACTGAGGGAAGTGAAACACAATTGCACAATTGTGATTCCCCTCTTCAATGAAATTTTAATTGTTTCCCTTGTATAGTAAATATAGATGAAAAGTTGATTTGGCAAGAGAAAAGAGTATGCTTCTAAATTATTTAATCAAGTAGATAATCATTTTGAAAAACACTTGTGTTAGTTTATATGTAACTGATATTTCATGATTGGAGACCCTATAATTTCTACATGGGAGAAAAAATATTTGCAATAATGTGCTTTGGCACAGAATAGTAGCATTGTTCAATACATGTGTCTACTGTTTTTGAAGTAAATCTTTCCCTATACTTTAAACATACATTCCTTAAGTTTGTTGAAATTGTTTTATAGTCCCTACTGAGATATGAACTATAAACCCTAGAAGAAAAGGTCTAAGCATTCTAATGAGCTGTCTTAATTCTTAATTTAAATTTTTAAAGACCAGAATTCTGTGGGTGCTTTGTCAACCACTCACCACTTCTGCCTCCTGCCATGCTAACTCTACCATATTCTGGACCAGTGAGATATAACTGGCTGAGTGTGAAGGATGAACTGGACAACTAGCAGTCTGGGTGGGGGAGTAGCACTGCTCACAGTAGAGTGCCATTATTGAGATTTCTAAGTCTTGATCTCTACTAGGAGGTTGGGAAAGAAATTGAGATAGAAAGCCATGTCAGTGAGTAGCTTGGTCCTTGTTACTATGGATTTGTAGTATTAAGGAGAGGAAGAATAGGAGGAACCAGGTATCTGTTCCTTCAACCAACATTTAATCTGGTTTAATCTGGTAGCTTTCAATCAAGGCCACCTTTGATAAGGAGAATTGGGGAAGTGAGCCAGATCAGAGAAGAATAGGATAAGAAGTAGCCCCTGGCATGGAAAGCCAAAAGCAGAAGGAATAAACAAGTATGGAAATTATCTCCCTAAATTCAGATCACATCACCTCATACTAGCTTCTTTATGTGTTATTTTGAAAAATGGGAGTATTGGGGGGGGGGTGTGTGTGTGTGTGTGTGTGTGTGTGTGTGTGTGTGTGTGTGTGTGTGTTAAGCACCCCTGGCAGCAATTGTTATTGAAATGACTACTGAAGTAGGAATGCAACCTATTTAGTGAACTGGAAACTTGAAGATTCTGCCCACAAAATAAAGATTATATGAATAATTTAATTTGGTTACTGTGTTGCAGTGTTAAATTAGAAAATGTGACTTTTTCCATAACTGAGTATGGTAAAACTTAAATTCTTCATACTACTTTCACATTTTCTAAAATAATTATGTTAGTTTTTTTTTTTAAACATATACTTTAGGTATAAATGTCTATATATTATAATCTCTAGTTAATAGCTTTGAATAAATTCATGAAGTGTCATTTTTTTAGTAGTGATATAGCAAAAATATTTAACATTGTATTCCTATTCTTTTATTAGGATTTGGAACTTGGAAGGAATTCAGACAGCTCATTTTGTTCTTCATTCCCCTGGAATGAGTGTGTGCTGGCATCCTGAAGAAACTTTTAAGGTTGTTATTTATAACTTAGCTTTCTTTTATTAAGCTGAAAAGACATATACGTGTGTAATACATGCATATATAGAGGAGAAAAATCTATTACTTTTTCCACCTCAGAGACTCTAATTGTCAGAAATGCATTTGGACTAGTCTAGAATTCTGTAAGTTAAAAACTCTCTATAATTAAGCTTTTATTTTACAGCCATCAACCATAAATGACATTTTTCAGAGCACATTTTTCCTGCTCTTTGGTAGATTGCAATCTAAAAACAGATGCCCAGCCTGTCTAGTAGCAGTATTCATTAAAAAAAAAAAAAAAGGTTAAAATCCATGCTTGAAGCCATAATATGTAAACAGAAAGCATCTGTGGCATAAGGCAGATTTGAGCTAGCTGCAGTGGTATTCAACTCCTATTCAGAGTAGAGCTTTCTAAAATTCTAAAAATACACTGCAAGTTATTATCAATTGACCTTAATTCTTATTTCATTGAGAAGATAGGACTCATTCAACAAGTGTTCTGTCATTTGCCAGTATCTGCTCTTGGGCATCACTCTATTTTATCTTTCCCCAGAAGCTAAGAAGTTACTGTGTTCATCTTGTTAAAGTTAATTCTTTAGCTGTGTAGATCTCATGCCAGTTCCCTAGGCATCTTGCTTTTATAGCTGTCTAACGTCTTCATGTTTCTCCATTGACTCTTTTCTGTCCTCATACTTGCACAAAAAGATAAGCTTGATTAATTATAGCAAACACATAGTACCAAATATACTTGGCCCATTGTCAGCATTTCATGTTAGCTCACTTAATCCTCATGGCAACCTTATGAGATAGCAACTGTGATGACCCTCATTTAACAGATAAGGAAACCATTTCTGTCACTTCTATCTTGAAACCCTGCTCACTTGATCTTTGATGATGCATTATTCTAGTCCTCTTGAGCATCTCTGCGTGTATCTTCCCTTTTTCCTTCTCTTCCAACTTTTCTTTCACCATGTGTTTGTCAATTGTTGGCAGAGGTAGTTCTCTCCTACACTGTGCCCTTTAGGTGTAAGAGAGGATAAAAGAATGAATAAAGCCCCTGCCCTTAAGTTATACAATTACTGGCTTATAAGGAAGAAAAACATGTAAATACAGCAACACAGATTTTAAGTGTTGGAATTAAAAAATCTAGTAAGTAGACCCATGACATAAAAAAGGATTAATCAGGGCGCTGGGGTGGCTCAGTTGTTAGGCATCTGCCTTCGGCTCGGGTCATGATCCTGGGGTCCTGGGATCAAGTCCCACAAAAAGGATTAATCAGATCTGCTGATAGCCTTCACAGAGGAGGTAATCCTGAGCTGAGATGTCCCAGACTACGTAAGTATGTTCTCTGAGCCTTGGGATACCATGAAACCTTGTTTCAGGCATATTGGATCTTTCATCAGTAGAACTGTACACTCTGTATATATGCATGAGTAAAATTTTCCTATTTATTCATATTAAATATGTAGGGATTGTTCCACGTATAAGTATTGTTTTTGAAGGCAGGTCCTATATTTTATTTTATGCAAGATTTCTCCCCTGTAGCAGTGAGTCTACGTGAAGTATAACAGGGATTCTACCTAAGTGTTAATATCACCATGTATAAATACAATAGGCTACCTTTTTTTTTTTTCTAGAGAGAACAAACGAAGGCAGGGCAGTAGGAGAGGGAGAGAGAGAATTTTTTTTTTTTATTATTTGAGAGAGAGTGAGAGAGCAGAAAACAAGCAGAGTGAGAGAGAGAAAACAAGCAGAGTGAGGGGCAGAGGGAGAAGACGACTCCCCCACTGAGCAGGGAGACCTATCTGGGGCTTGATCCTGGGACTCCAGGATCATGACCTGAGCCGAAGGCAGACGCTTAACTGACTGAGCCACACAGGTACCCCAGAGAGAGAGAATCTTAAGCAGGCTCCATGCCCAGCACGGAGCCTGACACGGGGCTCAATCTCCCAACCCTGAGATCATGACCTGAGCTGAAATCAAGAGTTGGACGCTTAACCAACTGGAGCCACCCAGATGCCCCAAATAGGCTACTTTTTTAAATCTGTGACCTAGATGAGAAATGAGAACTTTTCTTATAACTTCTATCCCAAAACTTGTATCTTAATGCTTGTGATTCAGGTCCCTTTCCTTTATATGCTTTAAGTTAATTTCTGTTTTACTTCTGTATATCATTAAAACTCCATCCCACCCCACCTCCTTTTTTTATTGTTTCCATGACTTCAGAATGTTTGGAAGTCCCTACTGTAGATCACATACACTCAAAATCTGAAATTACTTTTGATGTCTTCCTTCTATATATGCAAACTTTTCCAGGTTTTTAATTTTTCCTTCCCTAGGAACACATTACTAGAACACATTCCTCTGCATTAAGGTGCATTCTTCACCTTTCTTTTCCCACAAGTAACTCCTACCAAGGCTTAGCTGTTTCAAAGGTTTTGGCTCTCCACTCTTTGATTTTTCTTAGTTAAACTAATCTTAAAATACCCATTTCATCATGTCACCCCTAAACACAAAAACCTAAAATACAGAAAGGCGACACAGAAGTGATCTCGAGCAATTAAGATCTTAAATTCAATTAACCACAATTGGAACTAGGATTTTACCAGGTAGTCATAACAGAACCAAGAGTTTAGGATGTCATAGAATCAGAGAATTGGGACTGAGGACATCTGAGTCTCTGACTCTAAGAGAGTAGATTGCTGCTAAATCAAATGAGTTATAACAACCGACACTTGTTGAATGCTTTCTGAGCTCCGGGGACTGTGCTCAGTATTTTACATGTGTTCTCTCATGTAATTCTCACAAAACACTCTGAGGTTGGTGACATTTTTCTATCCATTTTATAGATAAGAAAACTGAAGCACCAAAAGGTTAATAAGTAATTTGCCCAAGGCCACACAGTCACAGATTTGACCTTATTCTGGTTCAGGTACTAGTGTTCTGTGCTACAAAAGCTATATCCCCTCTTAATTCAGTGCATATTCTGTTTATGGTTTTGGGAAGTCCTAAAGGAAAAATTCCCCTGTAAACTTTTTAGCTCCAGCAGTTCCCAAACTTTTTTACTCTATCTGCTTTCAACCAAAAAAATAAAAAAACATCTATCATCACAATTGAGCACAGTTTAAAAAAGATAAATAACAGAACTGAGTTTTCAATCTGACTTCAACCTATAATAATAGCGAATGTTTTGTGCTATGACCATTCTAAGTGCTTTACGTGTATTAATTCATACCATACTATGAAATAGGTGCTGTTATTAGCTCCATTTTTACTGATGAGAACTTAATGCACAGAGAGGTCATTTGCTCGAGGTCATACAGCAGAGCTAAGACCCACCCAAGCAGTCTGGCTAACAACAGCTGCATTCTAAACCCACCTGCTTTATTGCGCCTCCTAATTTAGGACCTAGGACCCAGATGGACTTTGCCTGTCCCCAATCCATAATTTATACCTGAAATCCTTAAGATTTTTTGAGTCAGGCTTAAAATCTCAAATATTTTTATTAGTTCCTAGCGACGCTTCCTTGGTCTCCTCTCCTCAACTATATATTAGCACACCAAACCATTCACCGGTCTTCACAGTCTAGCTTGTAGTAAGAAATACATGTGCTCTGTAGTCAGACAGACCTAGGTTCAAGACCTGAGTGCAGATACAGGCTCTGCCACAGGCTAGCAGTGAGACTTCAACAAGTTACTTTTGTCACTCCACACCTCAGTCTCTTCTTCTGAAAAATGGGATTAATGATAGTAATATTTTCATACAGTGGTTATGAGGATTCAGTAAGGCAGGGCATGTAAAGCTCAGTGTTGCATTTGTTTTTGTTGTATAACATGTAACTGATCTGATGTTATTCTTAGTAGAATTAGTATTATTTTAACATTCTGCCTGTTAGAGAAAAGTTCTAAATTCTACCTTTTCTATTAAGAATCCCAAAATTGGAAAGACTACCAATATTCTACTTATATTCTAGGGTCATTTTTTTTTTTCATAATTCTCTTCTCTAGATGGGAAATTTCTTGGTATCAAGGATCATCTTTTACTTTTGACTTCTGTGGAAATTAGCATAGTATTTTGCATAAACATGTGTATATAGTTGATCTTCATTATTCGCAGATTCTATATCTGCAAGTTTGTCTACTCACTGAAATTTATTTATAACCCCAAAATTAGTACTCATGGCATTTCACAGTTGCAGACATGCACAGAGCAACAAGAAATTCGAGTCGGCTAAGATGCACATTTACAGCTAAGGCTGAATGAGGCCAGTGCTCTGCCTTCTTGTTTTAGCTCTCATACTCTAAGCAAGTGTCCTCTTTGTGGTCTATTTAGTGCCACATTTTTGTGCTTTTTGTTGGTGATTTCACCATGTAAAATGGCCCCCAAGCATAAAGCATTTAAGTGCTAAAGTGCAGTCTAGGGTTCCTAAGTGCCATAAGGCTGTGATGTGCTTTATGGAGAAAATAATATGGTATTAGTTATTCAAGCATGAGCTATAGTGCTGTTGGCTCTGAGGCTTGTTTTTTGTTTTCTTTTGTTTTTAAGATTTATTTATTTTATTTTAGAGGGGGCAGGGAGGGGCAGAGGGAGAAAAAGAGGAACTTAAGCAGAGTCCGCACTGAGTGCAGAGCCTGATGCAGGGCTCAATCTCAAAAACCTGAGATCACACCTGAGCCAAAACCAAGAGTCAGGTGCTTAACCGACTGCTCCACCCGGGCACCCCAGCTGTGAGTTCTGTGTTAATGAATCAGTATAATGAAACACGGTATCTTTAAAAATACATAATACCAGATTATGCATTGGTCAGTTGACAAAAATGTTATGCCCAGAGACTCACAAGAACCCAACCCTTTATTTCCTCTAGGATCAGTGTTCAATATTTACTAATTCCTTGTTTGCAGCAATTTAATAGGCTCTAACTACTATGAATAATAAGACTCAACTGTGTGTGTGGGCAGTGGGGGAAGGTGGAGGTAGATGCTCAGTAAATGTCTCTTAGATAATGAATAATAGAATGACTGCCAGTAGTCCTAAGCCAGACATGATCTGTCTTATTAGAAGTAGTAACAATACTTTAATGGTGTTTTATGGGTTTAGGAAAATACAGTTATGTACAATATCACATTATAGCCATTTGATAACATTTTGAGTCTGATGTAATTATCCCACATTTCACAGGTAGGAAAAAAGCAAACTCCAGGTCATTCAACAGATTAGTAGAACGCAGGATTATTGACACTGTCTCTCATTCTTTCCAGGCTACCACTGTTACTTCACACCTTCAGGAATGTTTTCATATAACCAGAATTAGGAAGTAAGAACTTTACAGAAAATGTAGAGAGTTTTTAAACCATTTTATTTGGGCAACAACTACTTATCTATTCATAGCAATCTCTTTACCTTAACTCTCACAAATGGGTATCCTAATGCCTTGCTTCTTTGATTCTAAGAAATAAATTTTTTCACATGTTAATATTTTATAAAATTGAAATTTATCTTATGATTATTTTTGCATTGATAAGATATTTCTTAGAAAGGAAGGGAAGGAAGAAGAGAGGGATCAGGGAAGGAAGGAAGGAGCAAGCTCATTATTCAACATCTTAAATCAGTAGTATTTTAGAATAAAGGAAATATTGAAGTAAGAGTAACTACTATATATGGAGTGGCTGCTTTGTGACAAGCATAGTACTGGGTGCTTTACATGTATTACCTTTTTAAGATTTTATTTTTTTTAAGTGATCTCTACACCCAACATATCGGCTCAAACTCAAAACTCTTGAGATCAAGAATCACATGCTCTACCAACTGAGCCAGCCAGGCACCCCCCTATAATACTCATTTAATCAACACAACAATGCTGTAGCTATTCTTATCCTTATATATACATTTTAGAAAGAAGAAAGCTGCCAATCAAGGACTTGTAATTTGACCAGTCATTTAGCTTTTAAGTGGAAGAAGCAGCCTTGCTCCCCAGGCCAGTCTGTGCTCCTTACACCATGCTGCCTTCCATTCTGGAAACAATCTCATGACAAATGAGGATGTGTAACACATAATATAGCTCTGTTGAGAAATACATACTTAGCTATCCTTTCTAGACACATAACTTAAAGCTGTAACTTTTCCCAGAATGATTCTTTGGACTTATTATTTCCTAGTAACCATATATCATCATTTAAAATTGTACTCAACTTTCCTGAGTCTTTCTTTCACCAGTTTTCTGTAAGTTTTTTAATATTTGACAGAGATTTTTACATAGGCTTCACCTATTTCATTTGCGTTTGATGTCCCATTTGTAATATATGCAAATGTTTACATGTTATATATAATACTGAATTACTGCCTCAGATTTGGCTAGTGAATTAGGTGAATTTTTTTTTCTGTCTTACAGCTGATGGTTGCAGAGAAGAATGGAACAATCCGGTTTTATGATCTTTTAACTCAACAGGCTATTTTATCTCTGGAATCAGAACAGATGCCATTAATGTCAGCCCACTGGTGCTTAAAAAATACCTTCAAAGTTGGAGCTGTTGCAGGAAGTGATTGGTTAATTTGGGATATTACTCGATCCAGGTATTTCCTTAGCAACTATCTGTTGCATACCCAAAAAGTCAGTCACTATTGCTAAATGATCCACAGAGCCTCTCTTGTATACCTGAGCCTCACTATAGAGCAGAAACAAGTCTCTCTTGAAAAGGACCAGAGCTGTGAGTTTTTACATAACAGAGATAGATGCCCATGCTATGCAGATTTACTTTGAGAGTAACCCAGGAAGAACAATGCAAAGTAAAAAATCTTTGATCTAAGCAGTGTTTATTTATGTTAAAAAAAAGAGAAAAACGACTCTGTTGAATGATGGTGTCCTGTAACGGTTCTAAATCATGTCTGTGTCTCTATCATGTTTCATCTATGTTAATCCAGTGCTTATTTGGAATTTTGTCACAGTTTAAGTACATTGGGCATTGTGTCCTTTAAAGAAAAAATACCGTTTAAACCTTAATTTAAGTTCCTCTACTTGAGACCAGCACATAAATTCATAAAATACAAAATGTTACCTTTTAGTTATCCTCAAGATAAGAGGCCTGTCCACATGGATCAAGCCTGCTTATTCAGGTAATGTACCATTTTTGTTGGAGTTATATTTAATTTTTTGAATTTGGTTATTTCGTCACATGCTGTGCCACTATCTCGAATACTTTCCCAGTCCTCTCCTTTCCACGGAGGTGTTGGGGGTGTTTTGGCGTTTGTTTACTGATTGTTTGATAAATGGTTATTTTGCTTTCCTAACTAAGTCTTTGCTTTTGTCTTTTTGTCTGGGTGAGGGAGTGATTCATTTTCTTTGAAAATTTTATAAAATACAAAACATATTGCCATTCCACTAATACCTCTCCAACAATTTGTAATATATGCTTCCTTATATTTTGTTCTGATAGATGTAAAATGTAGGTGGGCCCATGTTTATGCATATAAACTTCATTGTTGTGCTTTAAATGAGAACACACTATATTATGTATCTGACTTTTTTTCTACTTAATATACATGTCTACCTTGTTCTTATTGACTTTTGTGTAATATTCCATTGTATAATGTAGTCATTAGGGTGCTTTTAGCTTCAAGTAACATGAAAACTTACTAACTAAGACTAAAACAAGTAGTACATTTCTTATATGCTGTATTTCATCAAATCTAAAATACCCCCAATAAACTTATAGGACTTGGGGACACCATCATTTTTTGTACAACTTCGAAAAAAATATATTCAGGGGCGCCTGGGTGGCTTAGTCATTAAGCGTCTGCCTTCAGCTCAGGTCATGACTCTGGGGTCCTGGGATCGAGCCCCGCATCGGGCTCCCTGCTCCGCGGGAAGCCTGCTTCTCCCTCTCCCACATCCCCCTGCTTGTGTTCTCTTTCTCACTGTGTCTTTCTCTGTCGAATAAATAAATAAAATCTTTAAAAAAAAAAAAAGAAAAAAATATATTCAACAAAATGTAAGATGCCATAGATTGTAAGATGCACTCTGATTTCAGAAATGTGAGCACATCATAGAGACGTGATGGCTTCTGAAGGAGGCAGTCTCAGGATTGGCTCAGTAGCTCACCAGTGCCAACAGGAGTTCAGCCCTTTCCCTCTGCTGTCCACAGTGCCGGGGCTTCGGTTCTATAGCTTCACAGTTACAAAATGACTACCAGAGTTCCAGGCGTCATAGCCTCATACGAGCTTGTCCAAAGTAAGAGGAGGAGAAGGAGCACTCCTCTTTTATTAGGGATTGCTATCATTGCCTATCATCCGTCTGGTCAGTCACACTGTCAGAAGGTAGTTGGGGTTCCGTTAGCATGGAAAAAGGGCAGAAAGGCTGTTGGACAGCAACTAATAATGTCTGCCCATATTAACCAGACTTTAGCCTTTTCTTTCTTTTTTTTTTTTTAATCAACAAATCCTTTCTTTTTTTCATATATCTTCCCCACTGTACTTATCATAGTGCTAGGCATGTCGCTGGAGCTATATTAACACTTTTTGTTTCATTAACGGTATTTCAATGTCTAGGATATCTTGAAACTTAAATATTCAAATATCTAAATATTCTAGGTGTTTAAATGCATGAATTTATCACTAATCTTCTAACAAATGTCAATAAGAACATTAATTTTTTTAATGTATTGCACTGTGAAATATTTTATATTTGTCTGATGCCGTGTTTATATCCCCCACCACACTGTCAGCCCTTTGGTTATAAGAAAGGAACTGCTAACCTGTGTAACTTTGGAACTTAACAAAGTGGCACATTGCAAGCATTTAATAAATATTCACAAAATGAGAAAATATTTATAGCTAACTTCCCTGAAATATCCAGTCCAGTTGTAAAGCTGTATTAACAAATTTAGACTTATAAAATTATTGGTTTTGTGCAAAAAGAAATAAATTGTTTTAGAAAAGTTTGTAGTTATCTCTAGGATACTATGGGTATTTTTGTCTTTTCTTAGGTGGTCCACAATTAATGAGAACTTGTTTGCAACCACTGGTTATCCTGGCAAAATTGCAAGCCAGTTTCAGATTCATCATTTAGGACATCCTCAGGTAATTTGGAGTTGTTTTATGGCATATGTGTTTTTAAATTTGTGTTTTCTACTTTTCTACTCATAGCCCCCAAATCTGTAATGTAACTAAAGACATTTGTGAATGTCTTATCTGCTTATATTGGAAAGAGAAAGCATTTTTTGGTGTTTAAATCACCAGTGGTAACAGACCTTTTTGCCAGTATTCATGTAAGAAGCATTTTATTTCTTTTTTATTTCCTTCTTCATTTAAACATAATAATTTTACTCGCTTGCTTGGTTTAGGCTACAAAAATGTTTGAGTCTAAGCTAAACCAGTTTACTCATAGAGTATTTGTATCCTTCATTCTAGCCCGCTGCAGACAAATAATGTGTATTTCACCTATGAGGGAGCATATTTTCATTCTATTTCCTCTGTGTTAGCCAAAGACAATTTATCAATGCATTTCTTATTTTTGTAGGGTAGTTTTTACTTATTAACTTTGGTGATTTATTAAGTTTCTGTAATTCTTCACGTATTTTGTAGCCTGTCCTCATTGGTTCTGTAGCCGTCGGATCTGGCCTCTCCTGGCATAGAACTCTCCCACTGTGTGCAATTGGAGGAGACCACAAGCTATTGTTTTGGGTAACTGAAATGTAAAACAAATTTTCTGTGTACCTTAGATCCATAAACTTTGTATTTTTAATACATATTTTGGAGAATTCCTTATTTTTATATCAAATATACTGTAAGCTCTAGAAATGTCCCATTTGTTGCTTCTGTTAAATAAAATGTTAATGGTTTGAAAAATCATTTTCCTGCTCTGTTCTATATATGTGTATATATTCATACATAACACATACATATATTTTTCTAAATCATCTTTTAAGGCTATAATTGACTCAGCAGCTCTAGAAAAGAGATGACTAGAGAAACATATATATTTGTGATTTTATCACAGGATTATCCAAAGTATATCCTGTCCTCTATACTTCAAATATATGCTGTTTTCCTAATTCTCAGAGACACAAACATTTACAAAAGGAAGACAAGGTATTTCCTTTCAGTGTTACTCTGGAAGTGGTTCAAGGTATATGTGTGGGTGTATCCATTTTTGTTAGCATTCTGTATGTGTAAGGGTCTTACAACTTCCTCAGTAATAATAAAAAATTATTATTCAGTTTAATATAAAGAATGATTTTCAGGGGTGCCTGCGTGGCTCAGTCAGTTAAGCATCTGCCTTTGGCTCAGGTCATGATCCCAGGGTCCTGGGATTGAGTCCCACATCGGGCTCCCTGCTCAGCGGGAAGCCTGCTTCTCCCTTTGGCTGCCACCCCCCTGCTTGTGCTCTCTCTCTCTCTCAAATAAATAAATAAAATCTTGTAAAAAAAATGATTTTCAGTTTCTTAAAAATGTGACTGATTTACTCAATCCTGTTTACTATATGCCAATTTGGGGGGGGGGGTTGTTTTTGTTTTATTTTTAATTTTTTTTTTTTTTTAAGATTTTATTTATTTGACACAGAGAGAGAGCGCACAAGTAGGCAGAGCCGCAGGCAGAGGGAGAAGCAGGTTCCCACTGAGCAGAGAGCCTGACGTGGACCTTGATCCCAGGACTCTGGGATCATAACCCGAGCCGAAGGCAGACGCTTAACCCACTGAGCCACCCAGGTGCCCCTGCCAATTTCTTTTGACTAGACATCTCAGCATTCTTAGAAGTTCTTTCTGGTGTATGGGATAAAGCTTACCTTGAAAAGGAATCATAATTTAATCTTGACAGCCTCTGCCTTTTATGAATCTTCACCATTTTTACCAAGAAACTGAAATGTTTTTGTGATGGCCCCTAGTGGCAGTAGAACTATATTCACCTGACTCTCAAGATCACTGAAATTATCATTATGCAAGGCAGCCATATCATGTTTTTGTGACACATCGTGATGTAATCAGAAAAGTATAAGATTATGGTTCTGTTTATCCGTAAAGTATAGAGGAAAATTAATTCCTACAAACTCTGTGTCCCTGTGAATTAATGCCCTCTGCAACTGCATTTCCTCTTACAGAATGGAAATAGGAATTACTGTCTCATGGAGTTATTGTGAGTATTAACTTAAGGTGAATAAAAATACCTAACATGGGTCTGCCTCACAGTTCGGGGATTTGTAGGTATTATTAATTTATTTCAGAGATGTACAGTTCTTATTTTTGAGGAATTTAAGTGTTATTTTTAATTAAGAATGCCAATGAATATTTTTTAATTGTGTTTTATTCATAAGCTGTCTTATAATACATATCTAATGGAATCAAGAAAATTAGCTTTAAGAGAATGAAATGTTGCAGATAGTTTTTTTTTAATGCAATGAAATTTTATAATCATGTAGATAGATGTTTGGTATAAACTGTTACATGCTTATAGTACAGATAAAAAATTGCGTAGCATAAGCAATTTCCAAGTCAACTATTTGATACAATAAAATATTATTACCAAATAGTAGAAATAGTTTCCTTTACCCCTTCATAAGCAGATTGGAACTTAAAAAGGCAAAGGGCAGGGAATTTGGACTTATTTCCTTTTAACAATTTCTGTGATGGGACAGAGAACCCTAAAAGCATCAGGATAGACAAAAGAATTTGTAAAAATTTATCATTTCAGGATGTGTCCCAAAAGTAAGGGACACATCCTATTGAGATGACAGATTGAGCCAGTGCATTTGAAAATTGTCTTATACTTAGGAAAGTTGACTTAGGAATTGAGTGGGTTATGATTAAGGATGGAGATTAAAAAGGTATGTTAGCCTTGGATATTTGGGTGTTTAGGAAATGGGTTCTCTGGAATGAGGCCTTATCCAAATATAAGTTATCTGAAGAAATTACCCAGTAGGACTACTGTCTGTTAAGGGAAGCTGTCCTGGGAAAAGGTAACCCATGGTGGTCATGTAAGTACTAAATTTGTGGATTTATGCCAACAAGAGGCAGGAAGTGTTGTCCTTAGAAAAAATGGTTGTTTCATTTGTAAATTAATATGGTGACCATAGTGACACTAAAGTCTCAAGAAATGAGAGGGATATCTTTACCTCTTAGCTTCAGGAGCGGTATTCACGCTATCCTGAGTAAGCATTTGTTAAACTTTACTATGTTCAATTACTTTAAATGGTGTAATGATACTCTTTTTCATTAGAAAACTTTGTTCTTAGTAAACTTTAAATTAGACTAACACAGGAGGCAGTGTTTAGTGGGGAGTTTTTATTGGTCATGACTTCTAATTCCTGATAAATGAGTTCTGCTTTTGTGTATGTATATGTATCCTAGTTAGTTTTAGTTTTTCCATGTTTGTGTATGGCTAAGAGGGTTTTTTTCCTGTTGAAAATAAGTTTCTCTGAGGATTGCTTCACATACAAACATTGTGGAAAGGAAAAAAAAGTTATGTCCTAAAACTCATATTATTTAGGATTGTTGAAGCAAAAGTCAGGATATCACAAATCTGCAAGATGTCAGAACTAAATCCTACTCTTTCAAAATGATGGGATCATAAGTCCCATTTTATTTTTATGATTTGGCTTGTACACTGAATATTTCAATGTCTCTCCCATGCCAAAACACAAAATCGCACACCCATGCACTCCAATTTGTTTCTTTGGTAATTTGTGACTACATATTGACACTGACCTAGAAATGTTCCTGTTGCTGTTTTAAATCTCGTGTCAGTGAAGAAGAAATTGAAATCTGGTTTGCACATTTGTGTCTGGTTTTTTGTAATTGTCCAAAATCTGACATTATCCCAGAAATGCTGATTGGGAAGTTATGAGACAGTATTGTGCCCAAGACTGATTTCTGAGGAGAGGACAAGTATTTGCTCCAGATTATTCCCCATGTTTTTCTGTAGCTCGAAAAGTTAAACTCAACCCAACTTTATATGATACCAGTAATAGGCTTAGTTTTGAGCCCAAATAAAATGTGCAAAGTAAAAATCATCATTATGATGGTCCATTTCCACATATTCCTCATGAGAACATAGTCAAGTCCTCAGAAGCAACATTCTGTTCCAATAGATCTTTATCAAGCTGTCGGTGTGCTCAGTAACAGGGACAGGAGAGAACACTCTGTTTCTTTAACACCTTGCTGATTCAAAAACATTTATTTTAACAGGCATTGGGAAAGAATTTCAAAACAGCTAACATTCATTTCTAATTATACATTTAAAGAAATATGCCTTTTAAAACATAGGTAGAAGTTTTCTTTTGTTGTTGTTATTAACATGACTTTAATTATAGCAACCATTGTTAACTAAGCACAGTAACAACAAAATAATTAGGATATCAGCTTTGAAGATCTCATTTCACAAAAGGAAAAACAAATACACATTTGATGACATATCCATTACTCAGATTCAACATAACCAATTTCTTTTGCATGCATGGATACAGACTTCATGGGAAATCAAAAGCACTGAATCTCCTTTCTGACTTTTTCAGCTGTTCTTTGAACTACCTTAGTAAAAACAATTGTTGCCCGTATGTAGGATCAAGTTACATTTGCCTGGAAATTTCTTTGGATCGGCTTATTTCTGTTTAATTTATGTGTTTGTTATATTGCTGTTTGCCTTCTCAACTAATTTTTAACAGAATACTCTTACCTTGGGACTTGTAACACTTATGTAAGCTTATAAAATCCATATGAACAATGGTAAGTAAAAGGAGAGGACACCAGGTTTCTCAGCCTTTGCAAACACTTTGAGTAACCCAACAGATTTAAAGATGTATGAAATAAGCATTTCTGCCAACTGCATTTTTAGTGCTAGATTGAGTTGAATGCCTGTTTCCTTTCTTTATAGTAAAAGACAATAAATGCTGCTGGTATCTTTGCTTCTAATGGTTAAACACAAAACTTTGATCTTTCTCATAAACACAGCTGTTGTCCTATTACTGAGCCAAATCCAGACAAGATTAGACTCTGGCCAAAATTACGGTTAATCTCTGCAACCATCTCAAGAGCTTTCTAATGCTGTTTTAGGAAATCTCTATTTTTGAGACAGGGTATAAAGGAAATAAGCCCCAGACAACTAACCTCTAAGCCAGAAGCAACTAGTCATAAATTATGCCACAGTGATAAAGAAGGTGGAGGCTGTCTAAACAAATTAGTTCATTTTGGTTCATTTTCACTTAGACTATAACTGTTAAGAAATGACTTTGTTAGTGGACATTAGTTTAAACCAGACCAATAGAAGTTATTTTTTAAAGAACTTCTTTCTACCATCTTTTCTTAGTTAATGTTTCTTTGGTTAATTGCTAGTACTTTCTTCCACTAGTACTAATGAAATCTAGGTGTTCATTACAGATAAAATAACTCAGGTATACTTTATAGTAATTATAATAGCTCATTTGGTTTTCAGACCACCAAAAAAATGTGGGTTTTTTTCATTAAGGTTTAGACTCTGGAATTTAAAATACTTTGCCAAATATTATGTAGAGCTGATTCTCACGATAGTTGCACACTAGTGCCTCAAGCTATTGTGAACAGCTAATATGGCATTTCTCTCCCAATTGCCTGTACCTAGGAGAAATCTGTGGGAGTATCCCTCACTGGAAATGTACAGAACTTTAGTAAGACTTCCCTGGCACTTTATTTTGAGCAAGTACGGACATGGTCATATATATATAGCTGCTTAGAGGTCTCACCCCACCCTGGACTTACCCACAAATACATATAGGCCCCAAGTCCATGGAGTAATTCTAGATTTTGTCAATGTTTTTGACGTAGTCTTTTCCCCATCATTCCACCCACCTGCCACAATAACTGAGATATGTTCATAAGTGTATA